ACAATTTTGGATATAAAGGTACTTTACTCTTGAGTAAAATTAACGTTTTTTTATATATATATTTTGTACAAGATTAATAAAATGTTATATCTGATGGTTGCATCTTAGTTTTAAGATAATTCGGTAGAGAAGTTTGACAGTTTTGAAAGGCCTCCCAAATTCTTGAAATTTTCAAAGTGAATTGCCAATGTTTTTTCAACTTACCACATTACATAAATGTAACGAAATTTATTAACTAGTATTAGCGAATTGTTTGGCGAATGCCTTTTTTAATGACTTTCTAAATAATAGTAAACATGTTATGTCTACTTGCCAACTAAAAAACGAGAATTAAATGGAAATATCATCAATGTATAAAAATAAGGAATTAGTTTATTATACAATAAAACATACAAAAATCCAAGTTTTTTTAAATTAACAATATAATAATAATAGTTTAATTTTTTAATTTTTTATTTAGACTGTGAACTACTACATGATTTGACCAGCATAAAATTGAAGCGGATATGGCCTAAAACCAAAAAAAATATGATAAAATTTTGAATAAAACGAATCCAACAACATGTTGTACTCGTGCTTGAGTTACAAAGGTATTAAGACACTCCTCGAGCTTGCGACAAATATACCATTTTATAAGAGACTGCTGTCCACGTACAATCGACCAGAAGTTTCTTATCCCTGAACACACTCATCTTGAATATGACGCTAAGAAAGAGCGAAGAAAACCACTAATATCTTAATTATGGTGCCCAGGCACTGGTACAAGAACAATTGGTAGAAAAACCATTCGCTGTGGAAAAATGGACCAGGAACTGGACTAGTTTAAAGTTTATTCCAGTCAAGTTCCATGGGTTCCACAATTCTCTTGACACAAGTCAGTCTACACCAGAAATTCAAATCCGTAATGACGATGTCAGTTCATAAAAAAATTATAAAAAATCGTAATAAGTATTTGTTAATTAAAAAAATAATTTTGATTTTTTTAGGTTTTATTGTAAAATAAACTAATTTCCTATTTTTTCTACATTGATATGCTCATTTACTTTTCGTTTTTGAGTTGGCAAAACATGACATGTCTACTATTCTGAAGAAAATCATTAAACAAGGTATTCGCTAAACAATTAGTAGCTAATACCCGTTAATAAATTTCGTTGTACATGTGCCATTCACTTTGAAAATTTACGTTAAGTTTTAAATTAGATATACACAATATTAAGGCTGTTTTATCGGTGCACCAAAATCTAGGAACTGTTATTTTACCGACAAAGTGTCTCGAAATTTGGACATAATATTCGAAACTATGTTGCTTTTAAAATGATGGTTTTACTTTTTTTTATTTTTTTTGTTACTTCTGTTAAAAAATTAGATTATAGTGTTTAACGTTCTATTATAAACCAAACTTTTTACGCTCATCGCTTGAAAGAGTTTTTTTTCTCTAATCGTTGATTTTTTTCACCTTTCTGCGCCCAGTAATAATCGAGAAAAGCATGTTCAAACTTTGAAGAAAATTGCTAAAAAATACTAAAATCTAATAGTGAAACGTGTTACTCATCATTGTCGCTCGGTTTCACCGTTATCGCCTTCGTGACTTCAAATCTCATGAGCGTACGGTCAGTTAGTTCGTGTTAAAACTAATTTGAATGGAGAGTAATGCATTTGTTGCCCGTTTTCCGACGACACTGAGTAAAGATAGTCTCGCGTAATCAGTGTAGAAATGTAAGTGATACACCCATTTCAAATCGCAGTGTGCTTGAACTGCTAAAACAGCCTTAATGGCAACACTGTGTGCCGTCGACTTTCCATGAACCTACGTTGCCCCGTCCCCAATAATTTGTCATTATACAGTGGTTGTTTAAAGCAATAAGAGCGTAGATTTTTAATTTATTTTTGTAAACATGTCTGTTTGTACGCCCTCAGAAAAGGTTCAAATAATAAAATGGTTTTATGGTGGTAATTCTGGACAACAGTGTGTAGATTTATTTTCAGTATCTTTTGAGGGGAGACAATTCCTTGCGTACAGTCAGTTCATATTGTTAAAATTTTGAGAGTTGTTTATTGCCTCAAAAATTGCACAAAAGGTCACGCTCAAGAAGTGTCATTAGTGAGTGACACTTGACACGTGACAAGTTCTAGGGAGGTAGATGTTAGCAATGCTACTGTAACGAAAGTGTGGAAAAAGCATGATTACAAGAATTTAAAATAGTCGAAATGATAAACCAAATTTTATTTTCTGATGAATCTTCTGCTTCGTTAGTAGAGAGACACAATCCTTCCATTAAGAGGTATTGGGCGCGTGAAAACCAGCACAGAAGTATTGTTTACCAAACTCAATGTCATCAAAAAGTTAACGTCTGGACTGGCATTTTAGGAGATCACAGAATAGGTCCATTTTTTTATTAAAGGTAACTTGAATAGTAGAGTATACCTCATTTTATTACAGAATCATGTTCTTCACTCTATTCTCGATTTTCCTGATGTAAATCTGGAGCATGTTTGGTTCCATTAAGACGGCTGTTCAGTTCACAACGCTCGAATAATTAGGGAGTACATAAACAATACTTTCCAGAATCGAGTTATCAGTGCGATATTAAGTGGCCTATCCTCCACATCTTACACCCATTGACTTCTTTTTTTGTGGGCATTTAAAAAGCCTACGATCATCCTGAGTCGGATTCTGAGTCAGATGATTCAGAAATATTATGAACCCGAGACACTCATGTTGTATTTCTTCAGAAACTGTTCGATATTATGAAGGTTTTACTAATTTTTAGAAATAATTTTATTTTTATTTAGCTCTCCGCAGACGACTGTAGATTGTACAAGTTGAAACGAAATAATTTTTAATTTCCCGCATTAATCACTTAGAAACTATTAAAACTTTATGTTTCTATATTTCTGTCTTCGATTTGTGTTTCCGATTGTGCCTTTATTTTAATGCTCACCCGCACGCACAGTATATCATTTTCCTTCCGAGTGTGTTCTTACACTTTCAGCTAGGTAACAGCAAAATGATCTTTCCACAGTTCATAATGTTCAAAAAAGTGTCAATTTGGTTAGAAACAGGTTAGGGAATTTGGAATCAGAACCAGAATGCCTGCTACTGCTCGACTGTCAACGAAGAGCACATTATTGGGACATTAAAGCTTCGAACAAAAACACGTCTATGGGAAATTAACGATTGATCCTTGTTACTGATGAGTTACGATTTGCTCTTTGTCGATTCGACAGACATATTCCAGTTTACAGACGTGCAGGTGAGCGATTTGCTCAGTGTAACATAAGAGCAGCCAGCAATTTTGGAGGTGGCTCAATTATGATATGGGTTGGCATCTGCTTTGTAGGTCGAACAGCAATATCAGTGTTTCGTAGGGAGTCCGATAGCTGATCGATATATCTGAGAGGTTCTTTAAGAGAATGTGTCTTTTGTTCCAATTATTTGAGATAATTTCGTTCTTATGCAAGACAACACTCACCCGTATATTGCTAGAATAACAACAGATGCAATATCTTCAAGAGGTTGGTATTCAAGTTCTCAATTGGCCAGCAGTCAGCCCAGACCTAAACCCAATTGAGCATGTTTGGGACTACCTAGAAAGACTCATTAAGAGCCCATAATGTCGCTCAAGATAACTTTGATGAACTGGGAAATGCTTGCAAAAAACCAACCAGATGTAAAATAGAAATTGATGGCATCAGTATTGAACAAGTAATGGAAATAAAATACCTTGCAATTAGACTATCCAGTTATGGAGACCTGGACAAAGAAGTGAGAGATCAAGTACAAAAAGCAGACTGGCAGGATGCGTTAATAACACTATATGGCTAAATAGACACATTAATACTGAGATGAAGCCAAGAAATTATAAAGCAGTGTACTACCAATAATGACGTATGCCTCAGAAACAACACCTGACACAGCCACAATACAAAGGCTACTGGAAATATCAGAGATGAGACGACTGAGAAGAATTACGGGAAATACGCTGAGAGATTGAAAGAGAAGTGAAGTGATAAAATTTAAAAATACAGTGTATAACTGAATGGACACAAAATAGAAAAAAGAATGAAATAACCACATAAGCACAACGAGGGAGTCCCGTATCATCAAAATGGCAAGAGATGAATCACCAATTGGTAGAAGAAGTATCAGACGACCACGCAAAAGATGAAGTGACACCCTTCCATAGATGTATTGATCCGCCAAGCATTTTTATATGAAAAATGCTATACTGGGCATTTGAATATCAATACTCAACAAATTAAGAAACAGTCTACATTAGTATGTATTTTTTTTGAAAAATTTGTTTTGATTGAATATTTTCACGTCCATTTACGGATAACTCACAAATTAGTTAGTAACTCAAGTTAGTAGTTAGCTAAAGGGAATAATTAATAAATAACAAAGTATTATAAAATAACATATCATTAAAATACTAAAATACAGGGTGTTCTGTTTAAGAAAACTCAGAAAATACTTATTCTGAATTTCAACCAACACTGTATATCAAAGTTGAATATTTCACTATTTTAATAATTTTACACACTAGTAGATAGTAGTAGTAGTAGTAGTCAAGATCTTTTGAAATGTCTACAATTCTACATCTTACATAATACATACATACATAATTCTAAAGTGATAATTTTGCTACAAAATTAATAAAAAAACGTAATTATATTATAAATTACCTCATATAACACTATCAAACATAATATTGAAAAAATGAGAACATCGAGATGAGTCCAAAATGTAAAAATATACAGGGTGTTCATTAAAAAAATATGTTTCTTCAACCCTATCAAAATAGGTGTGCCCTGTATATTTGAAAATATTTTTAGAGCTCTCCATGTTCCAACTTTTACCTAAATAATTTTTTCACATCTCTTACAACAAAGGAGTAATTGGAGTTCCTCACACTAATGCTGCACCCTGTATAATATGTAAAAAATATTTAAGATTTAAAAGAAAAAATAAAGAACAATTAATTTCTAGCTTCACTTACTTGGAAAAGATCTCAAAAAAATATTTGACTTGCTTGCAGCTGGAAAAAAATACCATAATTTTCTTATTGGGATGGTTTTTTAAAAAACTCCAAAGCACTGCCACTTTGTCATGAAGATTGCTAACAACATAAGTCTGAGATAACTCATTTGGCGTGCTGTATTGAGAGTTTTCATGTACGCTTATATATGAAGGATCTTTTAAGCTAAGTCTTGCTAAATCTTTTACTGATCTAGTTTGAGTAGCAGAAAACAATAGTGTTTGTCGTTTAGGTGGTAAATTGGCAATGATAGCATTCATAGTCTGCTCAAAACCCATATCAAGGCACCTGTCAGCTTCATCCAGTACAAGAATCTTCATCTTAACACAGTCAAAAAGTGGATTTTCATCCATATGCTGCAGAAGTCTACCTGGTGTACAAATAATAATATTACAAGTATCCATTCTGTTCCTTTCAAATTTTAAGTCTTTTCCACCTATAATCAACCCAGCTGAAAAGTCATGGTGCTCTCCAACTTTTCTCAACATTTCAAAAATTTGATAAGCTAGTTCCCTAGTTGGAGTAATAACTATGGCACCTACTCCATCTAATGATGTCCATTGGTTTGTAAACAATATTTCCAAAATTGGAATAAGGAAGGCTAATGTTTTTCCTGATCCTGTCTGAGCTGCACCTAGTATATCTTTTCCTTGCAATGCCAAGCCTATGGTATCTCTCTGAATTTCTGTTGGCTTATGGTATCCACATTCACGAAGCCCTTTAAGAGTTTTGGCAGATAATGGAAAATCTCCAAACTTTGTAATTTCAGAGGATTCAATCTAAAAATTAAAATCGGTTTTTAATTTGAAACAGAACTAATGATTATATTAAGATATGATAAAGTCCTAAATTTTTAAGTCTACAAGTTTTGGTGACCTGTGTTCATTAAAGGTGGTTTATATTAAGTATTTAATTATATTCCCACAATGAATGAGTTATTTATAAAAGAAATATTCTTGTAGACATTTTATAGAAAATACTTAAATGAGATTTATAGGGAGAAATAGATCATATAGCAATTTTTAAAAAGTGTTTTAAAAAAGGCTAGGGCAACATTCAACCACCTATTATTATTCTTGGCTTTACCCAAGTTACTCATTTTGTTCAGACTGAGTCGATTTGGGGTTTTCAGATATTTTTAAAAAGTCTTACATCTTTTCACCATATACCAGGTATCAGATGGTGCCAGGTATTGAACATAGGTTTTTTTGTGTGACTTAACTACTATTTGACCCATCTGGCGCTTTTAAACCCAACCATTCTATCTTTAAGGTGCTTATATTTAGGCTTGTTAGTTGTTGAAATGTTAATTACTTGATCCAATGTAGGAAAAATTTGTAATTAAATTATTAACTGGGAAAATATAATTAAATTTCCAATATCAAAAATTGCTGTACCCTCAATAAAAATCTGTTAGTTGACGCATGTGATTACAGTACTTCCATTAATTAAAAGGAAAATATATACAACACATAACAGCATGTCAAGAAACAGAACCTCAACAATATTAAACTTAACTAACCGTTTCATATTTATCTGTAAGTTTCTTGATAACTACAGACTCTGGATCCTGCTTTTTCTTAGATTTATTGAAAACTTTAACTTTCTTTTTCTCTTTTTTTATATTTTTCTCTTTAACTGTTGTCATTTTTTAACAAAATAACAAAACAATGAGTCAATGAGGTTAATGAAATGATAATTATAGGTTATCTTAATCTTCTTCTATAAAACAGTTACATTCTCTACTTCAAGGTTCTGAACAATGACGTATAATATATAGACTACGCAGTCCTCTATTCTCGCATGTTTTGGACACTTTTTAAAGCGTTCACCGAGTCTATATATTTTACGTCATTGGTTCTGAAACTCTTGTCTAATTATATTTATATGGGATTAAGCCACAATTATTGGTTGTACTGAAAATTACAGTTTTATCAAAAGTTTGGCGTTTTGATTTCCACTGCGGAAATCGTTTTTAAAAGAAACATATACAAATGTTGGGAAATGTATTATTTCTTTTCTGTTCTGTGGTACAACCATCGAGCAATAAAGGCCGTATGACACTATGCATTTTCTTGTATCATTTCTTATATCGTTTCTGGTATAACAAAAAAATGGATAGTGTCATACAGGCGTATAGTTTCTTATATCAGAAACGATACAAGAATTTGTGTTCGCTGCATTTTCTTGTACAAGAAATGCGCCAATTTGTGCGCAAAGCCGCTAAAACGAAAAACTTCTGTCATGTCATATTGGCGGCTGGAGGCATAGAGAAATAAAAATAATTATTATTTTTATTTCTCTATGGCTGGAGGAGAACTTTGATATATACCAGAGATATGTAAGTATCTCTGATGTATACATACAATTAGGCCAAGCAGATATCAGAGAAAAGTGCCCACCAACAATAACCAAGATTAGAACATCAGTAGCCATATTGAAAAACAATAAATCACAGTGATTGTATCAAATAGCATCGGAACTACTGAAAGTAGGAGATGTTTTACTAAAAACAATACATAACCGCTCTAAAAATTCGTGATGAGTTTAAAGATTATTTTATATCTCCAAATAAGAGAGTAGAGTTTCAAGAGCATACCATTCAAACACATAATTAAAAAAAAAAACAAATAAATTATTACAACCAAATTATTTATTATTTCTGTCTTCCATTACAACCTGTTGAATATCTTCAAAAATTGTGGTTTCCAATTTAGTTTTCATATTGGGACATTTTATTTCTTTCATTTTTGCACCACAATATTTTTAAAAATAATCAGTAGCATATGTTCTCAGTCCCCAGTAGCTTGGGGTCCTCAGGCCCTTGTTCGGTGCCTCAGGTACTGCAGTTCTATTTTTATAGGTGTCAAAATTTCGACCAATCATGTGCCAAATCACATACAATTTCTGGTAAAAGAACTTGCATAGTGTCATATAGGGCAAAAATGTACGTACAAGAAACGATACAAGAAAACATAAATAACTTTCTATATCAGAAACGATATAAGAAATGATACAAGAAAATGCATAGTGTCATACGGCCTTAAGACAAAAGAGGGAATCTAATCCTTATGAAAAAAAGACCAAAAAAGTGGCCTCTGATGGCGGACATATCCGGAAATGTGAATGCGCCAAATTTAAATTTTCCGACACTTATCAACAGTACCTATATAATATTTCGCAGAATGTGTCTTAGACGAGAAAGTTTTAATTAATTATTAATGATAAGAGTCTAAAATGCGACACAATTGTTAAAAAACTTCAATATAAATAAGACTTCATGTGACATTTGGGACAAACAATAACATAACCCAACTAAATTTGATGTCAAACAAAGAGAGAGACTCTCTTTCCTTGTTTAATGTGGCCTCTAAAGATCGCATTTCCTGTCTAACAATATGTTTGCCCCCACTACCTTTACATTCCCTCTATTGTCTTTTTGCTCGATGGCATAGCAAGCATAGACGCATGTTTTGGTATCACCACAGAATAAACAACATAATAAACTGTTTATTATTCTGTGGTTTGACTATGCCATAACCACAGAATAATAAACATACAGAATACCCACTCTCCACGGAAAATTAAGTACGCGCATCTCCTCCGCGCAGACGTTCCGCCATGTTTTAGGAGGATTTTAAAGAAATTATGTGGTGTGCATGGAAAAATTAACCAGGTTTATTTGACTTACGGCAATCATAGACATACTATACAATTATATTAACATTGTTAAATATAATAACATAAATATAATATAATTAAACATAAATATAAATAATTACATAACCACACAAATCTTATGTCTGTGTCCTCCTCAAACATGGCGCGCGTGCTGAAAAACTTCAAAGGCGGCATCTGAGAGTGTCCCTTCTGATTGTTTATTATTCTGTGCCATAACCATCGAGCAAAAAAGGTGAAGGTCATAAAACGAAAGACGAAGAAGAAGAAGACTTTTGCTCGATGGCCATAACACAGAATAAATAATAATCAGAATGCCCACTCTCAGATGTCGTGTTTGAAGTTTGTTAGCACGCGATCGTCATATTTTAAACGGAAATATAAGACTCGAATTGAGAAATTTGTGAGAAGCTACGATTGAACTGTAATTTAAATTTTTAGAGATTAATAATTTAGTACATTTGAAATAATTTAATCTATTCTTCAACTAAAAGTACGAATAAAATAATGCATATTATGTCTGTAGTTAGCGAAAATAAATCAAACCGGGCTATGCACACCAGATAAAATGTCACTCAACAGCACTGGTTCCGTTTAAAACATAACTGATTCCGTCTGCGCGTACTTATTTTTTAAGCAGATTTTGCATTCTGATTGTTTATTATTCTGTGGCAGAAATGACTTAAAATTCATGTAAAATTCACTTGAAGTGAAAAAAAAGACAAAACTTAATGGAGGAAGAAGGAAGAAGATAAACAAAGGGAAAAGGTAATTATTGATCAAGGTTATTAAAAATAGACAGGTAGTCTGGTAACTTTACACCAATCAGCGACGAGAATCTAACGGCGGGAATGACGTCACTGAGAATGCTACATTCAAATTCATTCACTTTACTCAAAACAGCAGTGATTGTAAATATATATATATATATATATATATATATATATATATATATATATATATATATAATATATATATATATATATATTAAAAAAACGTTTGGACTTTTAATAACTATTTATTTCATTCAATCTTTAAAAAATGTGGGAGATAAGTATCTGCAGAGTTACAGAAATCATAAAATATTATTGCAGCTAAACATAATATTGTAGTGAGATTAAATAAAACGAAGGGTTCGAATTTATATAAATATATTTATTTATAACTTTACAGTTCGGTATTCTCTTATCAACTAAACTAACTCCTAAGGTCGTTACATATATATACCTAAGTTACTATGTTCTAGAAAGTTCCCACCTCTAATTCGCGCACGTGGCCCATTGTTCTCTTGTCTTCGAGAGATCTGGTGATGATTCTGGAAGCCGTTTCGAGATGCAACCGTTATATGAGTCATACCGAAAGCATGTTCGTAACACTGCTCCCCTCTTAGATCTGAGCGTCCCGATCAGGAACTCTATCTATAGGCCCAGGATGGCGGAATCTACAGGACTCTCCAGCTCTGCATGAACCCCTCAGAAAGAAATAACAGTCTACTGTCTTTGAAGGACTCGATCTCTTCGGATTAATGCAACACACAGTAATTCTTACACCGGTTTCTCGGAAGATCACTTCAATCATGCTTCTGACAATCTTCCAATCCAGATTATTTAGTGCATGGCCTATCTTGGGTAAAGCCAAGTTCTTAATGTCGTAATTGCAGACGATTTTCTTCAAAATAGTTAGAGCACACCATATATCTTCGTAGGTTGCCCTGTCTGTATACGACTTCCTGGTCACCATATACAGCAAAGATCGAGAACCATCTTCTAATCTCAGTACTCTTCCAACTTTAGGCTGCTGGTTTTTTAACTCATCCAAGCGACCGAATTTCTTATAAAATACGGATGAGATTCCTTTAGTCATTTCAAGATCTTGGGCAACACAGTGGGCTAGAGTGACGTTATGCGGAACACTAAAAAGATCCTGCTGAACTTCTATCGTCACGCCGAATCTAGCACTCTTTCTCTCTGCGTAATTTGACATTAATTCGTTAAAGCTTGGTCGCCGATCATCTTTGATCTCATGTTGAAGGGTTCGGACTTCTTCAGTTTTATTTGAGCCAGCATAAGGTGCAAGACGATTTATGTGAACTACTTTTGGTTTACGTTTCGGCAACTTCTTAATTCGGTATATTACGTCATTTATTCTCTTTTTAATTTTATACGGACCCTCCCATTGCCTTTGCAGTTTAGGAGACAAGCCACGACGACGTTGTGGATTATAAAGCCATACAAGATCACCTACTTCATAGCTTTCATTCTTGCATCGAGAATCGTATTGATCTTTCATTCTGTCACTGGCTAACTGGATGTGTTGTCGGGCAAGTTCATGAATGTTGTTTATTCTTAACTTTAGGCGGTCGACATAATCTTCGCTTGCAACATGTTCTTCGGAAGGTCTGCAGCCAAACTCTAGGTCGCAGGGCAAACGAACTTCACGACCTAACATCAGGCAGGTTGGAGTCTGGCCGGTAGTTTCATTCACGGCCGAGCGGTAGGCCATTAGGAATAAATGAATGTGCTGGTCCCAATCTCTTTGATGTTCTGATACAACTTTGGACAGGTGTTTACCCATTGTTCGGTTCATTCTCTTGGCCATTCCATCTGATTGAGGATGCAGGGGTGTCGTTCTGATCTTATTAACACCAATCAATTTACAAACGTTTTGGAAAAGGGTTGACACGAAGTTTCGCCCTTGGTCGGAGTGGATCTCCAAAGGAACACCAAATCGGCTGAAGAATTCTTTAACAAGTACCTCTGCAACGGTAGCAGTTTCTTGATTTGGTATCGCGTAGGCCTCAGTCTATTTCGTAAAATAATCCATGGCTACCAGGATATATTTATTTCCATCATTTGTCTCTGGAAGTGGACCTGCAATGTCGATTGCTACTCTTTCCATAGGACTACCAACATTGTACTGTTTCATGGGTGCCCTCTTTTTACCAACTGGACCATTACTGGTTGCACACAG